GTATTTAAGTGAAAAATTGAATGGAGCGGCCTTAAACTACCCTGCGTATGATAAGGAACTTTACACATTGGTGAGGGCATTGGAAACATGACAACATTACTTGTGGCCCAAATAATTCGTCATCCATACTGATCACGAATCCTTGAAACATTTAAAAGGACAATGTAAGTTAAATCGTAGGCATGCTAAATGGGTCGAATTCATAGAGACATTTTCGTATGTCATCAACTACAAGCAAGGTAAGGAAAATGTAGTTGTCATTGCATTGTCTCGTAGGTATGCTTTAATCTCAACCTTGGAAGCAAAATTATTAGGCTTTGAGCACATTAAGGATTTATATGCTACAGATAATGATTTTGCTACTATTTATGCTGCTTGCGAGAAAACTGCTGTTGATAAGTTCTATAGGCATGATGAGTTCTTATTTAGAGAAAATAGACTGTGTGTGCCTAATATTTCTTTGAGGGAGTTGTTAGTTCGTGAGGCCCATGGGGGTGGTCTTATGAGACATTTTGACATTTAAAAGACTTTAGATGTCTTGCATGAGCATTTCTTGTATTCCCATTTTGGCCTTGCACTTTCACTAAAATTCCATCTATGTCCCTTAGTCAATTACCATAATGCCCTCATTTTTATTGCATTCTCCATGAAATTGTATCTCTTTTCACTCGCCACAATTTCAACTAATTTTGAGTGAAAAGACCATTTTACCCTTAATGAACTTTTAAGGAATTTTCTTCACATTTGTCTAAGGTAACTTCAAAGAAATCCAATGAAAGGTATTAGGGCATAAGTAAAATTACGTACCTTGATGTGAGTGTTACAGATTTGCATCAATCGAAGGAGCCTCCAAACGCTGGTATAGTCTTGATCTTATGATTATATTGTTTATGAAAATGACGTAGATCTGTATAAGGATTGTTGGGCTTTAAGTTTTTGGATAAAAAATGTTTTGTTTTTTCTACTACGTAATTATTTAATGTTATCCCTCTTAAAGATAGTTAAGCCTTAGACGTTCTACGAGTTCTGGTAATTACAAATACAATTTTATTTGGGATTTTTTTTCTTCTAAATAAGTTTAATATTTAGCGTAATGCTAATCTTAAACATAGAGTTTAAGATAAAATAGAACTTTTGATAGACAAGATTACTCATATTGCTTGATGAGTTCAAAACATGATAAAATTTTGAGTCTGACTAATATAAGAGTAAGTGCATATCCATTTTACTCTTATGCTATGATGCAATATGCAATATATTTCAAAATTTCTCTTTTATAGTATGATAGCAGTTCAAAATTTATTTATGTTTCTATGCATAATTATTAGAGTCTCATACCAACTAGACACGCTCAAGCCTCCATCAACAGACATGACCCAACATATGCACTTGATCAAGATGGGTAATCTTGCCTTCAACAAAACCTTATTGGGTGAAGAGTCAAGCTCACCTCATATTCTATCATAGTATCAGACTTAAACTCAATTGAGCTGAGTGCTTAATCAGCGGATGAGGAGTTAGAGCCAATAACTACCTCTATCAACAAGCATGACCCAACATATGGGCTTGACTATGAGAGAGAGTGTTGGAGTCTCACACCGACTAGACACGCTCAAGTGTCTATCAACAGACATGATTCAACATATGAGCTTGACCGAGAGAGGGTAATCTTCCATTCAACAAAGCCTTATTTAGTGAGGAGTCCGACTCACCTCAAATTCAATTAATAATAATAATAAGTAGATAACATGTTTACTCAATTATAATTGAACATGTTGTCGATTATGAGATTCCGAAAACCAAAAGTGAAGGTTGTGTGTCAATATCAAATGTGTTTTGGTAGATAACACATAGTTTGTTTTGTGTGAGAACTTAATGGAATTATTTGGGGGAGGTTACTTGCTTAAATAATGATATTTTAATATATATATATATATATATTCTATATATATTTATAATATATCTAAGTATAATTTACATAACAAATTATAATTCTGATAATCCACAAACAATGTTATTTTTAATTTAATTCTAATTACTCAATTATAAGAAAAGTGATGCTAATTGGCTGCATATGAAGAGGGATGTTGAGCGTATTTGTGACAGGTGTATCCTATGTAAAAAGGTCAAGTCTAGAGTCTCACCCCATGCCTTGTATAGTCCCTTACCAATTCCTAGTGAGCCGTGGGTAGTTATTTCCATGGATTTCATATTAGGATTACCTAGGACGAAAAGAGGCAGGGATTCAATTTTTGTAGTTGTAGATAGGTTTTTGAAAATGGCACATTTCATTCCATGTCATAGAACTGATGATGCAACTAACATCGCCAATTTATTTTTCAGGGAAATAGTGTGCTTACATGAAGTTCCAAGGAGTATCGTGTCGGATCGAGATGCAAAATTCTTAAGCTATTTCTGGAAGGTGTTAGGTACTAAACTTTTATTTTCAACTACTTGTCACTTGCAACGGATGGACAGACTGAGTAGTAAATAAAACATTATCTACATTGTTGCGTGCTATTTTAGAAAAGAATTTGAAATCTTGGAAGGATTGTTTCCCACATGTAGAATTTGCATCTAATAGGGTTGTGCATTCCGCTACAGGTTATTCACCATTTGAAATTGTTTATGGTTTTAACCCTTTAACCCCTTTGGATTTGTTGCCTTTACTTGTTGATGAGCGTTCCAGTTTAGATGGCAAGAGAAAGGCAAAGTTTGTTCGACAACTTCATGAAAAAATAAAGAAAAATATTGAGAAGCGAACCAAACAATACACGAGACAAGCTAACAAGGGGCGAAAGAAAGTGGTATTCCAACCAAGAGATTGGGTATGGGTACATTTACGGAAAGAGAGATTTCCATCTCAGCGGAAATCTAAGTTGCACCCTAGAGGCGATGGTCCATTCCAAGTGCTCGAGTGAATCGGAGATAATGCATACAAGATGGATCTTCTACGTGAGTATAATATAAGTGTCACCTTTAATGTTTTTGACTTAACTTTTTTGATGATGCAGATTTGAGGATGAACCCATTTCAAGAGAGAGGGTATGATGAGGACATGACCGAGCAACCTGTTGTTGTAAAGCTGACACAAGATCCTCTTTACATTCTGGTGGGCCTGATTATGAGGAGTCAAGCTAAGATGCAACGTGTCTTGTCAAGCGTAATTGAAGAACTTGAAGCCAAGAAGCAATGTATGAAGTCGAGTATGTCTTAGAGGGATCCAAAAAGATTATTAACAAGATTGAAGCCCAAGTCCAAGTTTGAGGAATTAAAGACCGATTCTTGTTAGCCCTAATTGGGTCCAAGTTGGCGTCCAAGCCTTTGTTCATGGGGCTTAATAACTGTTGTTTTATGTGGGCTATTTTAAGACTTATTTTGATGTAATGGGCTGGAGCTATTTATTTACTAAAGCCTAAGTATTTTATTATTTTTATTAGTTGGGTTTGGGATAGTTATTAGGGTTAAAACCTATTAATGGGCTGTTAGCCTTATTTTTAATTAGTTAGTTATATATAATTGTTGGATGTTTTGGCCACAAACCTTTTGAGGAGGAATAATTAAATATTTCCTTTTTTTTTTTTTTTTTTTCAAGATTGCATGTTGATATCTAGAACTCATCAAGAATCACTAATTTTTGTGGCATTCTTCCACGAAACTTTTCAATCTAAATCAAACTTGTGGCGTTTCAGATTATCTATACCAAGGTTTTAACGATAGATTCGTTTCGGGTCACGATTCTTCAATTTCGGATTGTTCCTATATATTTACGTTCTTGATCGGCGGGTTTCTTCGCAAATCGAAGGAGATCGCATCACTTGTCTCTATATTTACTTTATAGCAACCATTTACATGAAAAGCGTTATAGGTATATATAACTTAGGAATTTTTGTTGACAAAGAAATAGGGAAAAAGAAATTATGAAAGAGTTTTTAAAATGTTATTAATTTTCAATATCTTTAAAACAATAGTGATAATTTTAGAGATAATATATGGAAGTGTGACTCTTTTTCCATTTCTAGTGTTATGATCACACACATAGACAGGACTTTATTGACCTTAATATATTAGCTATTTACGGATTAAACTGACTTCAACCTTAAACAAAGCCGATAGATTGACTCAAATGGGCGAAACCCCCTTCTAAACTATTTTTAACCCTATACTGTCGTAGTACTAATGCTATATGAGCTCTTAAATTGACCTCATTAACTTTAGCCTAAACTAACATAAGTCAGACTAACACTTAGTTGGATCGGCTAGCGGTAGTGTTGAAGGGATAAGTTGGGCTTGTTATGTGAATACCTAAAATGACTCCAAATAGTGTTAGAGGAATAAGTTGATTTTGTTATGCAGGCTTCTGAACTAACCCCAACCCTAAATTAACTGTAAAGAAACTAACATTACATCATAAACTTTTGGGGGTGATAGTATCAAACATTATAAAAGTGTCACATGATTAGGTAGAGAAAAATGTTTGATCTCTAAACAAATAAAAATGTCTTAAATTTGGACAAACATAATGACTTAATAAACTAATCTATTATATGTAAGATTATTATTATTTTTATGATCGAAAGTATTCAGACTAATTTATGCATACTTCAACTAATCCTTCAAAAACTTTAGAACTACCGACCAGGTAAGAGTTCTAATGACCATCTCTATTAGTAATCGAGGAAGAATTCAAATTATTTTTATCTTTTATTTCTTACCTTATATTATAAGTAATATTATTACGAGAGAGTTTATGTTAGAAAAAAAAAAATCTCACATAAACTATTATAATTTTTGATATTAAAAAATTTATTAGAAGTAAACCTATAGTTAAATCTTTCAACATTGTTACAAATATTATATGCAAAATCAATCAATTATAAAGTTAAGTGTATATCACATACGACTTTAAGTGTATATCACATACGACTTATGTACTATCTTATAATTTGATTTGTTGCATTTGAAATTCTTTATCTTAAATATAACTCAATAAGCAGGATTAAACTTTTAAACTCATATCTATTGCCGCCAATTTTCCCAATCTATGAGACCGCAAAACTTGCTCCACCGCCCATTAACCACCCAAAAGTGCACCCTTGGCTGCCCGATCCTCGACCGCTGCGTCGGCGGCGGCATTCCCTGCAACTCCATTACTGAGCTGGTGGCCGAGAGCGCCTCCGGCAAGACCCAATTCTGCCTCCAACTCTCCCTCTACGCTCAACTCCCTACCTCCCACGGCGGTCTCTCCGCCTCGTCTCTCTACCTCCACACAGAATTCCCTTTCCCCCTTCGCCGGCTCCGCCAACTCAGCGCCACTTTTCGCAATTCCAATTCGGCCCTTCTAGCTAATAATGATCATAACCCCTGTGATCACATATTTGTTCAGAGTGTACATTCTGTGGACCAACTACTCGATGAAATGCCCAAGATAGAATCTTTTATTAAAAATTCAAAGTCTCGACTGCCTATCAGGCTCATTGTGATTGATTCTATTGCGGCTTTGTTTCGATCCGACTTTGAGAACACCCCAGGTGATCTTAAAAAGAGGTCGTCTTTGTTTTTCAAGATATCAGGGAAGTTAAAGGCGATGGCGGTGGGGTTTGGTTTGGCGGTTTTGGTGACCAATCAGGTGGTTGATTTGATTGAGCCCAATGAAGGAATAAATGGGTTGAGGATAGGGAATTTGGGTTGTTTGTATTCTTCAGGAAGGCGGGTTTGTCCTGCTTTGGGGTTAGCTTGGGCTAATTGTGTGAATTCAAGGTTGTTTTTGTTGAGGAATGAAGAGTTTGTTAGTGAAGAGAATGGGACAGTGAATGGTGGTGGGGAAGATTTTGTGTGTAGGAGGGCAAGAAGGCGGCTTTGTGTTGTTTTTGCGCCTCATTTGCCTGATTCATCTTGTGAGTTTGAGATCACAAGAGAAGGGGTTTTTGGAGTTGAGCGATAAGGGTTTGTGTTTTTGCACAAATATTGTCATTTGAAGGTATTGCTGTACAATTTTTTGAATTATGCTTGACTTAATATGGGCTTTTGGTGAAGTAGAGCTCTATGCATTGTAATTATTTTTTCTTTGAATTTTATCCTAATCTTATATATCATGGTGTTACGAAGTGATGCTAATGTTTTGATTAGCTTTTCTTTTCAGATGTAAACTGTTTGATTGTAGATGCTCTATTAGGTTATGGACCTTCATTTTGTATAGATGTAAAAATCGAATTTGATCACTAATTGCCTAATCCCATGTCAGTGGGGAACATTATTGGAAGAAGGTTTATTTTACAAATGCTGTAAAGAACCTAACATCATAAGGTAGTTATGGTATGACAAATAGTTTCTAGTCTTTGGTAGAGAGGGCACTAACTTCCATGTAGTATTTTTGAGTGTCAAATCTCCAAGCTAGGGTGGGTGGTGAAACGTGGAATTCCCTCTGATAGTGTTTACAATTTGCTTCTGTAACCATCATTGGCTCTTGTTTGTGTATACATCAAAGAATTTATGCAATTATATTGCAGTAGTTTATGTTTTAATTGCTATCATACTGAAACTTGCAGGTTATAACAATTCTGACGTTTGAAATGCTATTACATATTGAATCTTGTTTGATAGTTTAACATCTGCCACTTTCTTAGACAACTGATATAAAATATACCCCTTTGACATGATTTTTAACATACTCTTATTTTTATTTGAGCTCTACTTGAACCAAAACTAGCTAGGTTATCCCTTTGGAGTCAAATTGTGTGTATCGTTAGTTAAACATAATTCATATCTTAGTGTGAGGGTAAAATAAAGCAAGACCTTTAAATAAAACAATGTTTAGATTGTAATTTGTTGAGTTTTATTTAAAAATAATACTTAAAAACGATAATTGATCGACAAATGTAATCTTCACTGCTTTCTCAATGCCGCAACGAGTAAGTAATATTCCTGATTGTTTTGTAAAAATAAGTTTGGCAGGACCTCGCTTTTAAATTATAAGTTTACCGATAAATAACATAAGCAAATAACTGAAATTCTCCTACATCAGATTAAATATAAGAAAGGAAACTTGAAAACAATCATACAAAGTAACAAAGAAAACTAGCCTCTTCTTCATTTACGGTTAGCATTGCCATATTTCTCCATTATAGACTGTATGATCTTCTCACATAAGAATTTCTTATGCAGGAATTCAGATAGAGATGGAGCAGCTTGGATGTGCATATCAGAACCTTTTTCAGAAGCTTCCCAAGCATATTGAGTTTCTTCAACTCCAATGCTTGCCCCTTCATTCTATATTTATTATCTCCTCCATAGATCAACATTAGGCAGCGGATCTTCACGCATAGACCGACTCTTCTTCGGATCATGATAAACCGAATCTACATCAAGAGTCAGCATGTCGGTACTTCACTGTATCCTTCCGAATACGGAAATTCCTCACCATTCCTGACTTCCTATACTTCCGCCATTAGTAGTACAACGAACACACTTCATATGCTTGCTCTCATTGACCTTCAGATCAGCATCTTCATCATCCTCCTTTCCATTCTTCAAACAGTTTATCGCATCTAATTTTTGAAGCTGCTGGTCTTTAGGGTACTTCCCTCTAGCCTCATCCCTAGCTTTGTATAGCTGAACAACACGAGTGTAGATCGCTGAGGTCTCGTTTGACATTGTAATCAAGCTCAAAATGCTCAATGTAATCATCAGCTGCAATGTTCATGTTTGTGAATTTTGCTTCTTTTTCTCTCGGCCTCTTAAAGCACAACTTAGTAGTATGTGTAATTGCACCACATTTTTCACAAGCGCCCTTCCTGTACTTGGGAGCTTGAAATTTTTTTACACCTTTGTGATACAATGATTTAGATCGAGTGTATTTTGGTTGCTGTTTCTTTTGGTGATTCAAGGTGGGTGACGATGATGATCCATCAGCGTTAAATAATTTGGAATGTGGGGATTAACTGAATCCATCTGGGGTTGACTGAAATTTTGAATCAATTGATGGAATTAAAAAAAAAAAAAATTGATTTTCCACTATTGATATTCAAACATACCTAATACCAAAAAGGACAAGGAAATGGGTAGCAGTAAACTACTAAAATTGAAAAATATTAAGCTAAGACAAATAATGAAGACGTAATTACTAGTAGTAAAGGGACGTTTCAGGACAAGGAAATCAAAACTATGTGTTTAATCGTTATGAGTATTTTTGGTAGTTTCCTGCTATGGATTTCCTTGTCCTTTTAGGTACCCCTTTACTAATAGTATTAGGTATGTTTGAATATAAATAGTGGAAAATCAATATTTTTTTCATTCCATCAATCGATTCAAAATTTCTGTCAAGCCGAGATGGATTCAGTTAATCCCCACATTCCAAATTATTTGTCCACTGCCCCTTGGTATATTAAGGCTGAGGGAGAGGGATCATCATCACCCTCCTAAAATCATCAAAAGAAACAGAAACCAAACTACACTAAACCTGTGATAAATCAGAGACGTGTAAAAATATATCAAGCTCCTAAATACAGGAAAGGGGCTTGCGAAAATTGTGGCGCAATTACACAGACTACTAAGTGGTGCTTGGAGAGGCCGAGAGAAAAACGAGCCAAATTCACAAACATGAACATTGCAGCCGATGAAAACAGTAAGAATTTTGAACTGGATTACGATGGCAAACGAGACCAATGGAATGGTTTCGATACAGCAGCGACATATGCTCGTGTTGTTCAGAGATACGAAGCTAGGGATGAGGCTAGAAGGAAGTATCTGAAAGACCAGCAGCTTAAAAAATTAGATGAAAATGCTGATATGAAGATAAACGAGAGCAAACTTATGGAGTTTGCAAAAGTTAAGAAGTGTGTTCGTTGTACTACTGATGGCGGAAGCACAGGAACGGTGAGGAATTTACGTATTGGGGAGGACACAGCAAAGTACCTTCTGAATCTTGATTTAAATTCGGCTTATTATGATCCGAAGAGTCGGTCTATGCGTGAAGATCCGCTGCTTGATGCTGATCCGGATGAAAATTTCTATGAAGGGGATAATAAATATAGAATGGAGGGTCAAGCTTTCGAGTTAAAGAAACTCAATATTCATGCTTGGAAAGCTTTTATGCAAATTCAAGCTGCTCCATCTAAATCTGAATTCCTGCATAAGAAATTCTTATGTGAGAAGGAGAAGATCAAACAGTCCATAATGGAGAAATATGGCAATGCTAGCTGCAAATGAAGAAGAGGATATTTTTTTTGTATAATTATTTTCATGTCTCCGTTTTTGTCTCTGATGTTATGTTTTAAACTTTTCTAGTAAGCCCGAGAATTTAATTTATTTTGTTTATTTTCACATGAGCATAACCTCCTGAGACCGTCGATGGAGGCCTAATACCCTTTTTGGTATCAGAGCCATGCGAGTTTTCCGATCCCGGATCACCACAATACCACTTATACCTATGAAGAATTGTAGGTAAGCTTCCATACTCCCAGTATATTGGCTGGAAACCCGACAGTGCAGGCCTATCGGGTAGAAGGTGACTTTTCGTGTCACTCCCTCTGTGGTATAAGAATGCCATGTACTGTTTTTGATAGTATGAAGCTTAGCTGTGCCCAAACCACAGCAAGGTACTTTAACTGGGTTTTGTTCTTAAATGTTTTGGTCTCAAACTATTATTGCCACTTGAAGTTGAACTGCACATTTGAGAGGTTGAATCTAAAAAATCTTATCCTTATTTTGTAACAATCGCATCCCTAAAGTATGGGCTTGGCAGGTGGGTTAATAGCCACATGGGCTTCCTGCTCTTACAAGCCGGTTTTTAAGAGTAAGTTCTACCTATTTGTGTTGTTACAATCCTATCCTTTGTGAAAGAATTAAGCACATAGAGGTAGATTGGAATGCATATGCTGATCACATTACATCATGTTGATTTCAAGTAGCGAATATGGGAGATTATGTGTACTGCCAAATTAACTAGCAAAACTCAATAAATAACTCTCAATATTTTTATAAACTCTTTGTATTCGTATATTGTCAAATCTATTTTCTTGAATAATAAATTTTTTAATCTTTATCAAGACATTTTGAATCAGTTCATAAATATATGTACAGTATTACTGTAATTTTATAAATTATATGATAATTAATTAAGCTCTCAGTTTGGATTTGATTCATGGATAGGACGTGTATATCGTGAATGTACATTGTGACATGATTTTTATGCATTTTCAACTATCAGTTGTTTATGCATTTTTATATTGTATATATTACACCTAATCTTAATCATAAATCATCAGGGAAAAAGTTTATAATCGCATATTTCTAAATATCATCCATATACTTCATTAATTGTCTTACAAAATTTTGTTTCAAGTTTCCTAAAGCATATTAAATTTATAACATTAGACATCTAAATCACTCTAATCACTTAGATACTGGAGGAAATTAAATTTACACTATTTCTTGGGAGACAGCTTGGAAAGCTGTGAAATTTGCTAGTGTTATTGGAAATAGAATCTACCGCCATTTATTTGTAATATAATAGTATAATTGAAATAGATTTTTTTTTTTTCATTATAATTAATTCATATTATATCATATCCCATTGGTGGCCTCACTATGCAGATTGTTGTTTATTTGAAATAGAAATATATCTAAGAGCTTTAGTTATCGCTCGGTCATCCAATGAAAATGAATTAATTCTGTGAATTTTTCCCAAAAGCAAATATGAAGCGTGCTAGAAGCAAGTTATTGCCCTCTCCTAAACAGTTTCACTTTCACCGCCTTCTACAACAGAGAATAGTCAAGATTAGTAAAGGCATACCAAAAAGGACAAGGAAATGAATAGCAGTAAACTACTAAAATGAAAAATATTAAGCTAAGGCAAATAACCAATACGTAATTACTAGTAGTAAAGAAATCGAAACTCTGTGTTTAATCGATATGAGTATTTTCTGGCTAGCTAAAACTCATTTTTAACGAGGAAAATTTGATCGCTAATATTTGACTATTTATCGTAGTACCCTTGGTGTGTTTATTATTAATGTTTTCTTGTTTTTTTGGTTGTGTTTTATTTTTTGTATTTTTCATATTCATTATTTATGTGGGTTTATGATTTTTGGAGATGAATATGTTTATCATTTTTTTGTATTGCGTTTTGGAAGGGAATTGAAAAGCTTTGGAGGTGTTGTCTGAATTTGATTGATTTTTTTATGAATTGTTCAAAATTTTGTTATAAGGATAATACTACACATACAACTCAATCTCATAAATTTTCTCTCACAATTTCGACGTGACAACTCACAAATGAATTTCACTGCTCGTTATAGGTCTCACTTATTTAATTACGAACTGACACGTCAAGATATGATGAGAGAAAGTTTGTAAGATGAGTTGTAAGCCAATCTTTATCCTTATTATAAAGGTGGATGAACTATAATTTGTCATTACATTTGGTACTTTCATAATTTTTTATAATATAGTACTTATAATAATGATGGTCAAAAATTGATCAAATGTAAATTTATATGGACAACACTAACGTTAAGAAATCAAAAATTAATATTTAAATAATACTATTTGTACAAACTCTTTACTATGAACTTATGTGTATAAAATGAACGATGAATACACATAAAAAATTAACTCATTAAAAACAATAAATTAAATAAATGATGTGTCAATTAAAGAGTGCAAAAAAGTCTATATACAAAGAGTTTGTGTACAAATGTCAAACACTTTTTAATTAAATAATGACAATAAATTAAATAATATTCATAACCTAATACTACATTGGAGTGTAGTGGTAATAATTTGTAAAAATTTTCCAAGAAAGAAAACATGTACATTAGATTTTCTGTTTGGTCACAAGACTTTTTGAAAAAGAATAAGAAAAGGAGAGATAATTAATCTGCTCTTAGTTTGGTTTTGATTCATGGATAGTGAATGTACATTGTGACATGATTTTTATGCATTTTTATATTGTATATATTACACCTAATCTTAATCATAAATCATAAGAGAAAAAGTTTATAATCACATTTTTCTAAATATCATCCATATAATACTTCATTAATTGTCTTATTAAATTTTGTTTCAAGTTTCATAAAGCATATTAAATTTATAACATTAGACATCTAAATCACTCTAATCACTTAGATACTGGAGGAAATTAAATTTACACTATTTATTGGGAGACTGAGCCTAAGGCCACCTTACTCTATTCCCCATTGATCTCCATTGTGGTGGTTATTCCCAAAACATTTAATAAAAATTTAAAAAAAGGGGCATAAAATGAAAAAAAATCCAATTACCAAAACACCAACATGACATGACACCATTAATGGGACTGCCCAAGAAAACCATACATCCAATGAACTCATGCTACAATACTAGCTCATTCATGTAAGTTTTTTTTTCTTTTCCTTCTTCTTTTTTTTTCCTCGATTTTTTTATTTTTTAAATTTGGTTTTTTTTGGGAACTTTGTATCTGACTCACAAGACTCAAGAGAAATCAGCTTGCCCAATAAATCGAGGAAAATATTGATAGAATCAATATTCAATTCCATGTTGTAGTCATATTATTCATGAATAGATAATTAATTTGACACATCATAAATTTTAGTTATACTTACATTTATATCAATCCTAAGCTTGCCCAATAAATCCGTTCTTTATCAAACAATATCAAGCTAGAAAATAAACAAGACTGCTCCAATCCAGTGATATTTCTCTTAATGAAAGGATAATTTTTTTCTTAATCATAATATTCATGAATTAGTAATTAATTGAAAGGAAGGATAAGTATTGGGACCGTATTTTCCTGTATATTCATTTTTTTTTAAGTTAAAAAAATAGTTAAGATCATGGGAATTAAACTAATTAATCGTATATGGTATTAGAAACTCCTGCCAGTCATGATTTTCTCTTGTAATTGCAATGAGACAATTGTATTATGAATTATGTTGTTTTTTATTTTTCCCCTTAACAAACAGTCGACATCATATATAGAATGATACAAGGACAAATATAATGGTCTTACCTTTCAACTGCCTCCATCAGGAAACCTTTCTGGACCAAGAACCTCTCATGGTCTGATTTTTACCCGAGCAAAATACAAATTCATGATTGGTGGTTCATAAAAAATATAATAAAACAAAACAAATCATAACCATATATTATCATTTATGTACTAATTCAACTTTTCTTGGCAATCTCCGATCTCTTGAATAACATGAAAATAATAATTTAATGTGTGTGTGTGTGTTTTTTTTTAAATTAATATTGCCTAAATAAAAAAGTTCTTAATTTTATATATTACTAATCCGTATATTAATTATGGTATCTGTAAACTTAAACAGTGTTATGGCCTTTTGAAGTTGGCTATCAAATGAACTTTTGTTAAATGATTAACGTGTCACAAGTTTGCTACCTCTCATTTTTGAGTCATGTAGATGTTATATGTCATGATTTTCAAATTTAAATAATGTAATTGATTCTTGAAACATGATTTTTTTAGTCTAATTTTTCATTTTAATTATAACATGATAAACACAAATTCCTTATTACCACCACATTTGGTTTATTAATCTTTAAAATTTTCATTTTTTGTGAAGGATTTTAAATTTATTCATATAATTATTCAAATCATCTATAGATATGGGAGGAAATTAAATTTCAAACATTTACATTACCTCCATGCTTATTTAATTGTTTGAATTAACTAACAAAATTTTCCTCTAAGTTTAGAAAATAACAAAGAAATCCCTTATTATTAAAAAACCGTTAATAAGATAAAGGGGTAAAATTGTAACTTTGGTCTTATTAGAAACTGCTGAGGTAAAATAGTGACCCTAGTCTCATAAAAAATGTTTTGTAAACGGAGTTATGGCAAAAGAAGTACCTATGATAAAGCTTTAAAACTTTGAGGATCAATTAATAGCATAAAGGGGTATCAGTAATGTATTTTCCAAACTTTGAAGACCTTTTTGATAAAAAGCGCAAAACTTGTCATCCTGCTGTTATCTACCCTAAAACATTATCAGTCTAATGTCCAGCGTTTAGATTGATAACCAAACGTTTGTTTCTTCTAAACTTATTGTGATTTATATTACAGACTTGAGTGCTGCAACCCTAATTATGGAGTAACACAAGAATCTATCACATTGTGCAGCTTCCGTCGTGCAATTTGAAGTGTACAAGAAGAATAAAATTAAAACTAGTCACACAGAGTGGAGATACAGTTACAATAACTTGAAGCAAGTATTATCAAACAGAAACTTGTGATACCCTGCAATATTCAGCTTTCTAAGCAATGCGCAGAATACAAACAACTGCAAATGAAAGCAGTTCACAAAATTCGGAAAATGGCACACTCAGTTTTACTTCATCATAATTATTGTTAAAAGGAAATTTCGAAGAGACCTCACATGAATTTCCTATATGGCCTGCCCGCATCTTCATCTTGCATATGCTGTCACATAGTTAACAAAATGTCAGGAGAATTAATAATCAAAAAACAAAAAATGATCCTATCAGAATTTTCATATATCATGGTGTATGTCACTAAATCTATGCCAACAAGTTAAAGCAAATTATATGTCTATCATAATATTCATTTACATGACATAATTAAACAGATGTCCTGCATATCATGTCCAAATGAGTACTCACTCCTCGCTCTTAGATTTCTGGGAAAAGGGAAAAAAGAAAACACCATTTTAAGGATTCCTACTTTCTAAAATCAACACAATTAGTTGCTAAATCCAGTAAAAGTTCTCTAATTTGAAATTTATACTTGAAATGATTAAGTTCCCTTTCTAGTGATTGAAGAATCATATAATGACAAAAATGAGCCTCGTCCTAATTTTACTTGGATAAAATGAGGAAGAGAGAGAACAAAAATTAATGAATATTTTTTAATACGCAGATATCCCCGAGCCTTCTAACAAATTGGCTCTAAATTGGGAAAATGCTGGAACTGATTAACTTTGTGTGGTCGTGATACTTGTGGGATGGCAGTAGGGATAGAGCAGAAGATGGGTATTAAGATGGGGCTGGTGAGGATCAGGGAATGCACACCTAGCCTGCCAGTTGCAAAAATATGAATACAAACACAAGAGCACGACAGATGATAAATTAGTCAAAAAGAAACAATTATCATGTGGTAGAACTTAGAAAACAAACCAATTTCATAGCTATCTTTACGTTATACTAGAAAAAGCTTTAAACAAGCATAAAATGTAACCTAAACTCTTCCATTCATTTTCTAAACACCAAACCTTCCCTCCCCCTTCTAATCCCAAACCCCAGCTTGGGCATTAATTGATGAGACGTTCATTTGCTTGCTAGGACAAAAGAAATACAATAAACATCCTTCACATATTTGTTAACTAACTAAACCTGCCCAATAAATTTTAAAGAACCAAGCCAACATGAATCTGATTTACTTGTAGTGCCTTTACTAACTATTTAATCATGAACAACAATTTAAATTAGCATTTCTTACCCCATTCATACTCCAATACTATGGCATACAAATACTACATGGAAATGGTTCTCTCCTCCACACTACTATACTTGGTTGCACAAATAAATCAACGGATAACCTCATTCATACCCTAAACTATTGCCTAAACGGAATGATACAAATTTAGTAACCAAAAAAAATTTAAGAGGCACTAGGAAGTGTACCTACAAGAGACTGTCTTTTTTTTCTCACAGCTTTTTGCTCTTTTTGATCTCTTTAACCAAAAATACTGAATCAGCCCTCCCCAAGTCAACCACCACAACAACACTCTTTTTTACCCCTCTCTCAAATTCTATTCTACCACCCACAATTACTCATATTCGGTTATGCAACAAAAATCCCTTAACCATTTTTTTCTTTTGATACCCAAAAATCCCTCAGTCTCTCCTACATATTCACCGTTCTCCACACTCTAAACTAGGTCCACCAACCTTGATAACCAGGAAACTTGTACAACATAATATCCCAAGTAGGTGGTCTCAAACGGATTTAAAACGGACTTAAAACTAATTTAAACCCTGAACCTCAAGTCAAAACCAAAGGCTTTTGCCACTAAGCCCAGCCCTTGGGATTGCCCCACTCATGTTAATGCTACCAAGCTTAGTGCCTCATGTCACTGAATCTCCTCCGTAGTAACAGTTTCATCATATTGTGTGGACACATAACGGCACCATAGCTCTCGAAGAGCATGTCATCTGAGTTTCAATAAGAACGTTAAGTGTTTGATGAATTGCTTTAAAGAGATAGATTCCTAAATAACATTGATATAGGGTTTTGTAATAGAGCTCAATTTAATCATCAACCACACCCATTTGATTATCAAAGAGATCAGCGCTGAATTATTGTTATAGCTAATTAGAAGGATCTATAAAGAAACTTACGAATTCTTTGACGATGCCCTTGTAAATGAAGACGGGGAGAGCGATGCCAAAGAGGCCGACGAGAGCCAAGTTACGTCGGGTCCACCTGAAATTGTGCTCTAGATTCTCACGCGCCGCACCCCACTCCTCTATGAACCTGTTCTTGTTTGTCTCCATCCCTCCCCCCATTGTTGCTGTCGCTCTTTCTCTCTCTTCGCAGTACTCCACTTTGGTCGATCTGCTCTCTTTTCAGCTGTGGTTGAAACTTTGATGTTAATGAAAGGCCCACTGTTTGGCTATGAGAACTAGCGTATTCCTGATCAAATTAATTAATACCACACACCCCTAATGTTTTAGTCAAATAAGTCAACTCTACTTATATTTATAAACTATCAACCATACCCCTATGGGGAACATGGTTGCAGTTTTGTAGATTACTCCAAGACTTGGTAAACTTTTAATCTCCTCTGAAAGTAATTTTTTTGGCCTTTTTGAGTTATTATGCATCAGAGATTGCGTTACTATTTTCTCCTGGTTATTATTAGGGCAAAAAATCGTCTTTGGCCCAAATAGGAAAACGGGACTGAATGAGGAAGAGACCAGGCCCAATCCCGATGCAACCCAATCTAGATTAGGCCCATTTGATACAAAGTACAGTCAGCCCAGACCATCTGGGCGCAAGCCTCCCAATCCCAGTTCACTTTCTAGACTTATGAGCAAGTCCAGAGCCCAAGGCACCCACAGATCACTTCCCTATTCGAGGTTATCTTCCTGTTCGAGGTCATCTTCCTATTTGGGATCACTTTGCTGTTCGAGGACACCTTCTTGTTCAAGGACAACTTCCTATTCGGAATCACCTTCCTATTCGAACACTGGTAAGACAGCTCACCACCGCCCTAATTCCTCTAAGGTTCGTATCAGAGTCACACTAGGACTCCTACTCCCACCGGGATTAGGAGACCAGACAGTTACTATATAAGCAGAGGCCAGCCCTCTCAAAAGGGAGATTACATTACACCTTCATACCCGAAGCTCTTATTTGAGAGATTCACATCATCGTCGTAGTCACAGTCCCCAACTAGACTTCTGGTAACCTCTCTACTCCCTAGCTCTCACTATACTAGCCTCTTTCAACCTTGCTAACTTAAGCGTCGGAGTACCTACAGCAAACACCACCATGGTGTTTTCCGTTCGCTTCACGCATTTGTTTCTCTACGTGTGCAGGTGCAGCGGATCGCTAGTGGCCTCAACCTCACGGGATCAGACCCCCTTCTATACAGGTAGATTTTTATGTCTACAGTTTGGCGCCCACCGTGAGGCCTCTAGTAATCATTCGGCTCAACGAACCTTGCTATGTAGAGGAACTTTCCATGGCTAACCATTCGGACAATGCTAGCCTTGGCCTCGAGGCTAAACTGGAGGCTCTGACCGCCCTCATGCAACATAATTCAGACAAAGTGGCCACACTGAAAGACAAGAACATTTTAATCCAGACCGAAAACACCTCCATCAGGGCCGAAAACCAGTCTCTTAACGAGAAGGTGAGTCAATTATATGATTTGGAGCTTCTGCCTTGCCAGGTACCTCCCAATCGATTCTGCGCCCCAGTTCCATCCATGCAACCTCTCCAAACTCCAAAGCACAGATCCTCGACCTCCAGTAAAAGGCCACGTCCATAAAGTTCATCGGTGGTCGACGACTCGATCCTGACTCATGGAGGAAAGGATCTACTAACAAAACCCCATTCATCCGATCCGCCCTAGTCTCAAGATCAAGACGCCCAAGAGACAGAGAGCCCACACCCGCAAGACCAACCCATTCTTACCATCCAGCCTCACCTCCAGTCAACCATCCCCGCATAAACACCATTCGGCTCAGCTCACCTTCACGGGTTAAACGGCCAACCCAACCAAACTATAGCACTCGAGCCCACCCATCCTGACAGACCGAACGAATATCAAACAACCCCTCTGACCATTCATGTAGGGCGAAACACTAGATCAGTTACCATAGGAGTCATTCGACCGGAAGGAATGAACGAAGATCCAGGCTACCAGGGTGTGCACAAAGGAATGATCCACCAGACTACACCGCGCAGGATGACCCAATGGAATATGCCAAGGACGAATGCAATGGCTGACCCAGTCAAACGAGATGACCTAGTGGCATCTCCCTCTCTTATGGAACAGGTACTGGCCAAGAGGCTGGCTGATGTAGAGGCAGTGATGAGGCGCATCCTAGGAATGCCGGTCCCGACCAAGAAGAGCATGCCTCACTGTTACGCGAATTCACCCTTTGTGGACGAGATTGCCCTAGCCGACATGCCCCAGAAGTTTACTATTCCCAGCATGAAACCCTACGACGGCACAACCGACCTAGATAATCATATAGCCTCGTACAAGCAGCGGATGTTCACTGTCTCAATACCCCGACCGCTGAGGGAAGCCTGCATGTGAAAAAGTTTCAGTTCGAGCTTATCCGGTCCAGCACTCCAGTGGTACACAAATCTACCGAGCAGTTCCATCGATTCATTCGCTTAGCTCACCGACACCTTTGTGGAGCAGTTCGCCAGCAACAAGAAACTCGAGAAGCTGTCGGCCGACCTATACAGAGTATACCAGAGGAGAGGAGAGCCCCTGAGAGAGTATGTTAGCAGATTCAACAAAAAGGAGATTTCCATCCCTTCTTGTAACCCCGAGACAGCGGTAGATGCCTTCAGGAAGGGTCTCATCTCGGATGGTGAACTATACAAAGAACTGACGACGCTAGGTTGCACCACGATGGAAGATGCCCTGGCCAGATCAGTAACTCAAATAAGGTGGGAGGAAGATGAGACGAATCGGGCAATTCACGCCAGATATGACTGAATGCAGAACGACAGGAGGCCAGAGCTCAGATCGATTGTAGGCCCTACAAGATCACCAAAGAAGCAGGGAAAGGTGTCTATCGGCTCCAAACTCCCAAAGGCAAAGACATCAACAGCAATTGGAATGCAATCCATCCCACACGCTACTACTTTTAGGTGAAATCAATCTAAATATTTGTTGTCTTTTCATTTTTTATTTAAAAAGGATGAGTGGGCATATCCACCATTCATAGACAGTCGGTCTCACGGTCTGAATTCAATGAAGCATTATTCAGCAACTGACACCTTCGAATCCTGCCCAATTCATGAGTTTTCACACTTTGGATCGACCCTGCTCGATCCACTGAATTACACCTTCTGATTGACCCTGCTTGATCCACGGATTTACATCTTCGAAATCGACCCTGCTTGATCAAATGTTAATTACACATTTGGATCGACCCTGCTCGATCCACGGATTTGCATCTTCAAATCGACCATGCTTGATCAAATGTTTGTTACACCTTCGGATCGACCCCGCTCGATCCACGGAATTACACCTTCGGATCGACCCTGCTCGATCCACGGATATACATCTTCGAAATCGACCTTGCTCTCTCAAATGTTAATTACACCTTCGGATCAACCCTACTCGATCAAATGTTTGTTATACCTTCGGATCGACCTTGCTCGATCCACGGATTTACATCTTCGAAATCAACCCTGCTCGATCAAATGTTAATTACACCTTTGGATCGACCCTGCTCAATCCACAGATTTGCATCTTCAGATCGACCCTTCTCGATCAAATGTTTGTTATACCTTCGGATCGACCCTGCTCGATCCATGGATTTACACCTTCGGATCAACCCTGTTCGATCCATGGATTTACACCTTCAGATCGACCCTGCTCGATTCACAAATTTTGTACACCTTCGGGTCGACACTGCTCGACTCACGGATTTACACCTTTGAATCGACCCTGCTCGATCCACGAATTTACACCTTCGGATCGGTCCTGCCTGATCCACAAATTTATACCGTCTGATCGGCCCTACCTGATCCACGTACATACACATTCGAATCGACCCTGCTCGATCCACAGTTTCACCTTCGGATCGGCCTTGCCCGATTTGTGGAACCACACCTTCTATTGGCCTTGCCCGGTTCATGAAACTACACATTCAGTCGGCCAGACCGAGTGAAGGGTTCTTACACCTCAAAATCGACAAGTCATCGACCCGACCCGACCCAACCCAATAGAGAGTTCACACGACTCAGCCACTGGGCTGCACCAAAATCATAACACAAGCATACGGCTCAACCCCTAGCACATCTACGAACAAGGAAGCAATCAACAAATCATTCACCATAAGGAAAAACATCAAAAACATAATCACAAGTACCATATAGAAGAAGCCTCAAACGACTAAGTTCAGAATACAATGAAAGGCGCACACGCCAGGAAAGGGCATCGTAGGCCCCAAGATACATGAGCAAAAGAAAAATAGAACTAAGTGTCATCCGTGCGAGTGTTCTCTCTTATCTCCGACTCGGTCACCCTATCGACAACACTCACCCAACCTTTTACCTCCCAGTCAACTCGTTCATACGAACGTGGCACCCTGATCTGGATCAAATCTGGAATGTGATACATTGTCCGGAGCCGCCACACGTCATTTTCTTTAAGCACAGGCAGATAATCCCTACTTAGAATCCCACTTTCCTCTTGACTCGGCTTGTCCTTAGAGCCACTACTAGACGAGGATGGACTACCAACTCCTTTGAAGTCTTCCCCACTCCCCCCTTACCTGCCCGAACCACTCGGATTAGTAGCATTTGTCCCTTGGGCAGCCACGTTCACACTGGTCGGTATACCTATCGGAATACCCCATTCGGGCATCATCACCATGGTTAGGGCACTCTCGTACTCATTCTCGACATATGCCCCAGCTCCACTAGAACCATTCGACCCTGAACCAGACATTTTTAGCGTATCCACTCTACCCAACCGACCGACCGACTCATCTCCACCATCCTCTCTAGAAACTAAGTATTGGATCTCCACTCTACCCAACCGACCGACCGACTCAACTCCACTATCCTCACTCCCCAGAAAACAAGTATTGGATCTCCACTCTACCCAATTGACTGACCGACTCAACTCCACCATCCTCACACCCCAGAAACCAAGTATTGGATCTCCACTCTACTCAACCGATCGACCGACTCAACTCCACCATCCTTACTCCCCAGAAACCAAGTATTGGATCACCACTCTCCCTATACCACCGACCGATCGATCGAACCGGTCTTTTCAAACTTTGACTATCACCATTCACCCCACCCCACGCCACCGATCAACACACAAACTTAACATGTCTAAAGATTCAATCGCCCTTCTTACCCGACTGAGCCAGCACATTGCAACATGCCGGCTCCCGCAACGAAGCCGGCACTCCTATGTTTCATGTCCAAGAGATTCTCCCAATTGGGGCGACTGGCTAGGAGCAGTCTAGCACATGTTCACCCTCGAGGCGATCAAGCCAAGGGGCCTCGCCCATTCAGTCTTCCATAGCGGACGAGTGGGCAGCCATGGGTCAAGTTTGCGCATTTTATTTGGCCCTTTGGCATCCAGTAAAGAGCGCAGTAGAATCACAAACGCAAGTCATACGGTCCAACAAGCCGGCCGAGTCGATTTCATCCCACTCGATCACCCGAGTACCCCAACAGAACGTACCTTCAATTTAACATCGTCTCCAACTCATTCGACCCGGCATACCGAGCAGATACCCCTGCCATGGGATGCTTGCTCATTTCCCCAGTCAACAGGACACACCGAATGAGCACATGAGCTTCAAAAGTCTCGTTGTCTCAGTCCCTTCGGCCCTTCACACCGATCGAGCACACCCTCTTGGGATGATGGCATACTCCGGATCGGTAATGGATACCGAACGACCCTCGACTACCAATCACCTACATTAAACTGTTCAACTACACCGACAATCGGTCGTCCAGGAAGGGAGACCGAGCGCGCCTCGATCGCTTCCTACTCTTTGACTTAAGAAAATCTTAACTCAGAGAGTGGGGGGCAAACTGTTAGGGCAAAAAATCGTCCTTGGCCCAAATAGGAAAACGGGACTGAATGAGGAAGAGACCAGGCCCAATCCTGCTGCGGCCCAATCTGGATTAGACCCATTTGATACGAAGTACAGTCAGCCCAAACCATCTAGGCGCAAGCCTCCCAATCCCAGTTTACTTCTTGGACTTATGAGTGAGTCCAGAGCCCAAGGCACCCACAGATCACTTCCCTATTCGAGGTTATCTTCTTGTTCGAGGTCACCTTCCTATTCGGGATCACTTTCCTGTTCGAGGACACCTTCCTGTTCGAGGACAGCTTCTTATTCGGAATCACCTTCCTATTCGAACACTGGTAAGACAGCTCACCATCGCCCTAATTCCTCTAGGGTTCGTATCAGAGTCACACTAGGACTCCTACTCCCACCAGGGTTGAGAGACCAGATAGGGGAGATTACATTACATCTTTACACCCGAAGCTCCTACTTGAGAGCTTCACATCATCGCCGTAGTCACAATCCCCAACTAGACTTCCGGTAATCTCTCTACTCCCTAGCTCTCACTATACTAGCCTCTTTCAGCCTTGCTGACTTGAGCGTTGGAGTGCCTACGGCAAACACCACCGCGATGTTTTCCGTTCGTTTCACGCATTTGTTTCTCTACGTGTGCAAGTGCAGCGGATCGCTAGTGGCCTCAACCTTACGGGATCAGACCCCTTTCCGTATAAGTAGATTTTTACGTCTACAGATATTGGATTTTTGTCAAAAGAATTTCTTATAAACCCATCTCAAATAAATTAACTATAATCACACTTACAGAGAGGAAATCTAATTTTATTTATTTACTTATTGGTTTGTTGAAATCTACATGAGAGTGTAGTTCTTTCATCATCTCAATTCTTTTATTATCTCAAGAGCCAATTATAAGGTCATGCTTATTACAAAAGTTTATTCTAAATCTTGACCAATATATAAGGACTAAATTTAAACCACTTATGCTATTCTCATGAAAATTTTTATATTACTGGTCTTACTATCTAGTCGGCCTACCAGAAAATGAACTTATCGATCTGATAATAACATTGAGTAACTGCAACCAAATATAAAGAGAGGACACTTTTTCAAATTACACAAGGATACAAATAATACATAGGAAGTCATGGTTTTGGCCCATATGCATGATTGACAATCCTTCTATAACTCATCTATGTTCAGTTTGAAGCTAAATTCAAATGGGATTGTCAGCACTCAATTCAAATGGGATTCTCAGCACTCAATTCATCTTCGAACGATATGTTTACAACTATATGAATCAATTTGCAGCTTCTATGGCAAACACATCTAAAATGAAAACCTAACCCCTGTTTCTAGTTGTATGTGTGTTTCGATGAGGAGTTTTAGGCTACTTCCAGAACTATAAAAGGACTGGACAACTTTGTGGAATTACAAGCATCCTCTGCCTGAAGGCATTTCCGGTTTCATGAATAGCTCCATTTCCTGCAGATTCAATGGACGAAAGAATTTAATTCTATAAGAATTCAGAGTAACAGAAAGCAATTGTTGGGATGTTACAGAATATTAACAAAGAGTAATTGGAGGCTTTTGCATGCGTGCTAGTATCTTTAGGTACAACTAGAAGGCGTGAGAAGAACTTCCCTACACACTTGCTGAAGGGTACCTTCATTTTTAGCTATCAACTCCCCTGTTTCTAAGCTCAAACTATTTAGATTTTGCTGGTTCGGAATATAATCCTCCCCCAACTCCCCAAGCATAAACAGAAGTTACAGAAGTTGAATAACAGACTCTTTGTCGGGTGTAAATAACATAGGAAATTATTGACGTGTCATGCCATTCGATTGCAAAACAGGAACTCATATGTAGACATCAGTGCAGAGATCTTTTTAAATTCTTAGGTTAGATATTAAAGAGTCTGATCAAAACTGTTAACTTGCGAAGATTAAGCTGAGGAATCCGCAAAATCACTATCTATAGATGATCAGGCTGAGAATTTTTTATGTAACAAAATTAGCTGAGGGACTACAATTACCTCTGATCTTGAATCCTTGATCATGAGCAGTAAACTACCACTTGTTCTCATGTTGAATAAAGTACAAATGGCACTGCAGAATAAAAAAATGAGAATCCATCATTAGCATGTTTTATCAAAAAAGAAACAAAACCATTAGCAGCAGATAGAAAAATTATAGATTCAACGACCTCTCACTTTTCCCTTTAAAACAATATTGTACACAATTTGCAAACTATTTTACCAGGGTTCAGAAAAAAGTCACTTTCAAGGCATCAGAACTCATAACATTAAACAACCTTGTATCTAAAACCTTTTTTTTTTAGTAACTTCATATAACAAATGATATTCACTTCATGCTAAAAAAATTCAATGTGTTTTGAGTGGTATAGCATAACACGATCAGACATTCACTGTCTATCAACTCAAAATTTCTTAGAATGCAGTGGAACCCAATTTAAAGGGGTCCATATTGTCCACAAGAGCAAAACACGTGGTCATATACATGGAGAAATAATTAATATAAGTTATTTTTTTGCTTAAGAAACAAAGATCTCTATAAAAAGTGTAGAGAGAAAACAAGAATGGACAAGATGTCCAAACAAATAAATAATATAAGTTGTAAAACAGCCTAGTTTCAGGAGGGATTGAGAAGGTCCAGTGCTAGCAGTCAAAAATTGTTTACTTTATCACCAAAAGTATTTTTTTAATTTGATCATCCTTAGCAATTTAGCAGTTCTGAAAAGGCAAACATCCCATTCCCCCTACACCCCCTAATCCTTGAAAATACATATGTAACAAGTATGCCATGTGCACAATAGCATTCTGGTAATTTTTACTGAATATTAAATGGTCTATAAACAAATTCAGCAAAAGTACACCATACAATGTCATCTACTGATCACAAAAATAGTCATCCTTTAAGTTGCTTTCATATATATAACAAGTTTAAAAGATTTAGATTATCTAAACAATAATCACAAAAGAAAGATCTAAGTACTCAAATATAACATCTTGTAGAGACTGCAACTTGATATCCCTAAAGCAAGCACAAGTTTTGACACTGTCAATTAGCTGTCATAGAAATTAAATTCATCTCTACCCACCCAGTTCCCCAAGTATACAACTCAACTATTCAGAATTTTTTTATTATACACACACCATGACCATATAAATGAAAAGAGCTAACTCTAATTATATTGAGATTGATACTTCACATGAATCTGTTCAGAACTCAGATTCCAATGTGTTTTACCAGCAAAAATAAATGGATGAAGAAGAATAGAGTAAGAACCCTAAATAATAATTGAATAGAACAAAAGAATACATGCAGTTTCAATCACAGAACGGTCCTTCGGTTCTGTTCACTATAAATAATTAAATAATTCAGGTAGTCAATAGCTTACCAATCAAGAAAACTGTTAGCATCAACACAAGCATAAGTCGAACAGAGCGATTAAATGGAAGAAGCACAGGATTTTGCCGCTGTCTTTGAACCCCACCAAAGAGCTGCAGAACATCAAGATTATTAGATTTCCAGGGACTTCAATTGATTATAATCATGCTCAACCATCAAATTACAAATTTATAGATCACTACAAAGAAAAATACAAGAAGTTTATGAAGTATAGTCAGAGTGATGCATGTAAATTTACCTGATTGAACACATTAACGACTCCCCTTGCCTGTGGATGTTCCACACAACTCTGCTTCCAAAAAACAGGTTTGAAACCTTTTTCCTTAGGTGTAGACTCCACGCATTGCATTAATTTGTTATTTTCTCCACCTTCATCAGCAATTACAATCTTCAATGCACTGAAATTTGGCGAACTCCACGTTCTCCTAGCACCAGTTCCTCTATCTGCTTTATAGATTATGTCATTGCTTGTTCCAGGAGAATCATCTTTTACTTCTATGACACACTCACTATTTTTATTGATACTGCCAGCATCTTTTATAACTACTAATTCATCAGAATTTTCTCCAGGGCAGATAGCATTAAAGTTTAGTCCTGCATCTCTTCTGTGGTGGCTGTTCTCCAAATGTGAGTTTTTCACGAGAGATCTGGAACTGTTGCATTCATCTTTCACAGAAGACGAGGTTGGGGAATTTCCAGAGAGAAACATGGCTAAATCATCGCGTTCTTCTTCATCCAAGTTTATCCATCGAAGGGGTTGCTTTCCTTCCTCACTAAAATATTCTCTTAATGCTGCTTCCACATGCGAAATTTGGTTCTCAATGGCAGCAATGAATTGTCTATGCCTAGCTGATGCATTATCATTGCAACGATGGCTGTAACTCAACCTGACAGCCCTTTCAAATTCTTCCAACTGATTCAACATTCACATTTCAATAAGACAAAATCAATATTTGTGGAAGTTGATTAGCCAACAAAAGATAAACAAGGAAAAACTTAATCAGAAAGTTTTGCTTAGATCACAAGAATATGTACGGTAAAAAATTATGACACTTATAAAGACCTAAAAAAGAAAAGTATGAATTTATTGTTCAGACAAACCAAACAGTTCATTCAAAATTGATCTCAACTTAAGGCAAGAATTTTCGTTTTCTTTAAAAAAAAGACAATAATGCATAGCACAAACTAGGAATTTTACTAGGCACTGAAGAAGTTATGATCACTGAAAAGACTTCAAGTCTGTCATAATTTCGATGAGCATAGGAAATAAAGGGTTTCATCAGAAAAGGAAACATACCTGCCATTTAGCAGTACCTAAAGCCGTTTGGAGCTCCCTACAGAGTTCATCTAAATCCTCTTGTTTTAGGCCTTCTCTCCTTTCTCTTATCCACAATCTGTATGCTGATTCCATTCTGGAAACAGAAAAAAATTCAGGAAAATAAACAAATTAAGTAGTAAAAATGGTGCTCAATATTATAAATGAGATTAGGAAATCTCTATTATCATCACATTAACAGAATAATTTAGATAACTTTAAATTACACAAAGCTGATTCTTTTGTATGTTCATCTTAACTGCACATACAATATACCTAACCATAGCAGTGTGCTCTGATGGCATATCCATAACTACTTCAGATTCACCAAAATAACCCCGGATATGCTTACCAAGAAGAACATCAGACTTACAAAAGAGAAAAGTATCACTTGTAAGTGAAAAGCAAAACTTGTAATATTGAATAAAAAACCTGTAAGTCGCGAATCAAATATCTAACTTCTCAGTTCTCACTTGTACAATAAGAACACCTAATTGAACTATAACATGAGAATTTCCCTCCCAAATCTAATCCCAAAAATTTGCAAACTTAATTATTTCGTGCTCAGAATGCCCTGCAACACAGTCTCACAGAACTCAAACCAAATAAATTAATAAATAAAAATCAAAAGAAGCATATCCCAGCTATATGATTAGATACAAAAAGAACTAGAAACCAAACCCAAAAAAACCATAGACAAGACAAAATAAAACGCAACATATATTATAACTAAAGAATTATATTCAGCCTAAGCATTAGAATCCCTTGAATTCCCACCTAAAAAATCCCAAACCCACGTCACAAAACCCATCAAATTATCGAATTTACACATATCCCCAGCTCAAACAAGCTATTCAACCCAAAACAATCCACAGCCACATCATAAAAACTAGTAAAACAAACCATGAACAAACGAATCAAGCACAAAAACCAAACACCTCAAGATAAAAAAAAAAAATAAAAAAAATAACATACACATCAGTTGATTCTTGAACCTCCTCAGCTGCAGAAAAAAAGGAATCATTTTTCCATAAATCAAAGCTATTATTTGCCACCATCATCTTCACCAAAACGATATAATTTTTATCTATAAAAAATAAACATAAATCGTTGGAAGTTGATCGAATGCTTTTTCTTTTTCCTTTTTTCTTTTCCTTCTTGTGATGGATTGGGCGTGAGAAGAAGCAAGGAATGAAGAAAGAGAAAGTAAAGGAGACGAGAGAGGAGAGAGAGGAAACGAACGATGGCGTACTAGTAGTAATATTTCTCTTCTTCTCCTTCTCGTCCGTTTGGTAAGGTAAGGTAAGGTAAGGTAAGGCGATCGGAGGTGGTTTGTTTTTGTTATGGTTTAAGTAAAAGAGGTCCATCGCCTGTTTCGTACAGAATTTATGTAAATACAACGCAAACCTTTGTCCGCCACGTCGACTTCCCTATTTTCTTAGGAAAACAAGTTTATTATGATATAATTAAATTCTAAAATTATTTATGAATTTAATAAATAAGTCTAATTGTTGTGGATTTATGAGATAACCTTTAAAGTTCCTAAATTGGGTTAATTAAATCAAATTTTGTTTTTTAAAACAAGGGATACATAATCTTATGAAAAAGTGTTTGGTAAAAATAAGTAAAAATGTTTTTGAAAACAGTTTTCACATGCCATTAAAAGCTATTTTCATTCTTTTTATTATTTTTTAAATCATATCAAACACTTTTCAATATTAAAATTATTAAGATATAACTCCAATAGAATGAATTGTTTTAATTTTTCTATATTAAAATGTCAACTAATATGTTATCATAAAAGAAAATTTTAAGTAAACATTAAAAAATCCAATGAAAATACCAACTGACCCCATTGATTGGAGATTTGCTATCAAAAACTCCTTTTTAAATAATTATAAAGAATTTTAATATCTCAACCTAGACGTTTTAATTTTTTATTTTTTTTTTAAAGGCCCGTTTGGATTTGTAGTGACGTGTCAAGTAGGGATTGGGGGTTCAAATGTGGAGTTGAAGTGACGTTCACAGGTGATAAATTAAGAAAGTAAAAACGGCGTCGGCGGTTGGAGAGAAAACAAAAAAGTTGGGTGGTGGGAACAGCCAGAACAAGTCATTGGCCAGCCATCAACTTTTAAATTGGGGCCCGTTAAGCAACTAAAAAAAAATGTTGTAATCAATTAATTAATTTAGTTATTATATTTTTCACGGAGTGATGATGAGTCAATGACTCACTGCTATAACGGAGAATATGTAGGAAGCATTGTTCGGCGCATAATTGTATTATTAAAAACGTGTCCTAACCGAGTCTCAATATACTATAACAAAATAAAAAACATGGGATAAAATAATTATTTTATATAAATTTTTATATGTGGTATGTCTGATTGTATGACTCATTGTCTTATAGAAATTACACACTTTAAATTATTTCAATTTGTTTTCACTTAATAACAACAATTATTGTGAGGTTTAATTGAATTGCAAAAATTTAATTATAAGGTTTTAACTATTAAAATAAAAAATAGAAAGAAAATTCAAAAAGCATTCGTCAATCATAATAAAGTTCGTTCTACCAATTTACTAACTGCAAAGAGATTTATTATTTTAAAACCTCACAAACAATTTGTTCTAACAATCAGTATGTTTTTTGTTGACAATCTGGTTGACAAATGATTTTTATTGGTTTGTGTTTAGAAAAAGAGATACAAAAAAATATAGAAAACAAGTATAAAACTTATATTTTTATAAATTCTAATATAAAAATAATCTATAAATATTAATTAAACATATGTTTAAGAATTTAAATATTAAAGACGACTCAAAAGCCTAAATCGGATTTCAATTTTAAAAAATTATTTTAGATCAGAAACCAAACGAACCCAATGCTCAAGACAAAATTCTAAATAATTAAAAAAATATATATATATTTCAAAAAAATTTAATAGGCTTTTAAAGAATTATAACGCATCCCTACCTCACTGAATTTAACAAAAAGGTAGAAATATTTGGGAATCAAGAATTTTGAAAATATATGGTAATCCTCCCAAAATAAGAGAAAAAATTCTCAATAAACAAATGAAATAAAAGGAGAATAACACGTAACATCCTTAGTCACCAGTCCACTTCACATAACCACCACTCTTTTTGTATGGTGCAAGCAGCAAGAATTTGGTTGTCGTTTTCTCCACAATTAAATTAAATTAAAAATTAAAATAAATTTTTTTACAATTTTTATTAAATAAACACAACAACATTATAAATGAAAGCCTCTACCAGTAGGTGAATGGTAGTTATGAACTTTTGTGGTGTTATTGTTATGAGCATAAACTATATTTTATTTATGATTTAGAGGAGAACTTTTTTTCAATTAAAAAAAAAAAAGTATTAAAGGTATTTTAATACTTTTACAAGGGATTTTGACACTTAGTTAAGGATTTAATATTTTTAAGAGAGATTATAATTCTTTTTATAACATAGTCAACACAGGTAAAATTATAAAATTTTTTCTATTTTTTATTTGAAATATATTGACAAAAATTTAATTCCAATATAAACTTTAAAAAAAATTAAGTTGTTTATAGATTTAGAGATATACTAAAATGACAGATAGAGATGCCAAGAAGAGCAAGGTGCCTTGAGGGATATGGTCTGGCTTAGATTTTCTCTATTAAAAACATTTAGCATTGCACATGTGTCAATAAACAACATTCAATAATGGGCCACCCAATAAAATAATGCCATCATTATTCATGCTCCATGACTCATGATCATGATCTTGCTATTTGAAGGGTCAAAAATCAACAACTCCAAAATCATACAACAAATCACAATCAACAGAGCAACACCTGTCAAAGAATCCTAAGTAAGAACAAATTAGAAATAATAAATGGCAGAATAATATACCAAGTCAATTTTGGCTTCAGAATTCCGATCTTATCCTAATACTGAAGCACTTCTACACGACTAACCTAAAAAATTTGCTAAAACCATATTGACCACCATTTACAAGAAATGGGCATTGGGGCTTGCCTTTTTCTCTCCATCAGCAATCACAAAGATTAGATAATTTGATGTATTATGTATTATCTAAATGCATTAAAGAAAATGAAGCACTTGCAAAAGTGCTAGGAATTAAATTTTTGCTGCAAAGTCAGATTCCACCCCTTGCATATCGAAAGGACAAACAATTCTTCGAAAATGAGCCTTTGACTTGTAGTTGTGGCTGATATAAACACAAGAATTAATGACTATGTTCCACAGTAACAGCAATATGAGTATGAGAACTAGGAGTGACACTTATGTGGACAAATTGTGTTTATGTCGTGTCGATATGGCAATCTTCAGATATATGTTTCAACCAACATGACTGTTTAATTATTTCTGTCCAAACCAACATCATAATTTATTAAGAATAACAACATACGACCCATATAACTGTTTAATAGGTGAGTCGTCTCAAAAGTCGACACAAGTAATTGACACAAAAATAATATGTGATGAAATATGAAAGTCATAGATTTTCTTAATTGTGAATGAAATTTTAATACGACTTTTTGCTTGTATAGAAAAAATATATCAATGGTTGACCCGAAAACAAAAATTATTTGGCTTTGGTTGGCAGTCAACTTTGAATTAGATAAAAGAAAACAGACTCAACCTGTTTAATTACCATATTAAACATAAAAAAAAGGTCAAGTTTGATATAAGCATGATTAAGATGAACCTAAACTACTCATTTCTTTTGGGTTTAAGTAATACTTGTGGGTCATTCTAAATTACCGGTAAAAATGTTTTACCAGTGACTGCATTGAAAGACCCTTCCGGAAATGAGGCAGACACATTAAGCTTCTAGCCAGCTCAGATTGACAAGGTGTCCTCACTCCTCAAGACACAAATCTGGACAACTCACTTTCAACCAACTTGCAACCAGCAGAACACGAAGTCAAAATGAGGAGAAATTTCCTTTGTAGATCTTTAGACTCCATTGCTAACTCACATCCCAACTCGTGTTTTCTCTGTAATGATGACCCAAATATCTTTTAGAAAAAGGAAAGCTTTTCAGCTCAATTATGATTTTGTGCTGGAAGAGATTTCTTTACCCATCTACAAAATCTGAGTCACCAAGATTTCCATCATGCACTGAACGTGGGTGGAGGTCTCAAGAACTTCTAATTCAATTTCCAAGTTAGCTTGTGACTGTAATAACAAAAATTACACACAGGAAAGATCTGAATAAATATAAATAATTAGGGCATGAAAAAAATCAAAGTTGACCACACTCAATTCAATGGAAAAAGTGCAATATGGGAAAACGCAAACATTAAAGATAACATATTAAAAATTAGAAGTGTAATTAATAGAAAATTGGCAGATCAATACATTAGAAAATGAAGAAATATAGGAAGAAAATTACAAGGTCCTTTTCCTGCTGGAGAGGATTCCGAACTCTCCTTAGATAGTCCAATAATGGAGTAGGCAAGCCATAATGGAAAATATTGTGATTGTTTGAGCGCCAAGTACCCTGCACCATGTGGGTGCTCCAGTTTGACATGGGACAATCCTCAATACAATCATCCTGACCAACATCAATATCTGCAACAGAACAAGGATTGCACCGATAAATTATCCCTAGTACATAAGCAAAAACATATTAACAAGTGTGTCTGCATGTGTCTGTTAAGTACTCAGTCACAAAATTGCACGAAAAAGTTCTCATATAAGGATAAGATTTTGAATGTTTAAAACACATAGACAATGTGCACGGGTAGAAAGAAAAAATTTTGCAGAGCGTGAAATATACCTATTGGAATAACATCATATGGATTGTCTCCCTGTGGTGAGAAACCATAAAATGTAATTAAATGTGAAGTAGAGAAATTTCCATAACTAAGACAACACTGTTCTCCAGCACTGCAAGGTCTTGACAAAGGGAACTTCAAGGAATTTGTTACAGAATCTACTTTGCCATAGTGCACTATGTGTGGGTATAGCTACAAAAATAGAAAAAGAAAAGCATGTCAAAACAAACTTTACCAGGCTTTGTATATAGAGCTCCAGAAAATAAGCCCCAAAGAAGGAGATAAAACATGTATGCTAGTGGGCTGTCACCTAAATTGAAGTACCTCAGGTTTCCCACAGTCTGATAGTATATTCTACTACATTAAGTTCCATGAGTTTCATTCTAAAATCTAGATGTAAACAAGGGATGAAGAACAGAGGGTGGAATAGAGAAAAGAATGAAATACCGAGTGGTTAAGAAAGCCTGCAATAGGAATTAAGCAAGTTCTCAGCTTTCCATCAGCAAACATGACTTTCATGCTATTAGAGTACCAGAGTTCACAAGCCCATAAGAATTGCTCCCATGTATAGAACTCCGCAGGAAATATATCAGGATAATCATTGCATAGTGCTGGAAAAAACTCATCATATTGATTGCGAAGATGCTGCAAAAAGGAGAGGAAAAAAAAGCTTATGTTCAGCAAAAGGTTTTCCTCTTTCCACTTAGATTTACATAAGTCAAGCATACAAAGAAGTCTGAGGAAGTCACACATGAAAGAAATCCTATGAAAACAATTTAGAATTGTACTTTTTATTTCCATAAATTCAAAATTGTGAGAGGAAAAAAAGGAAGCCAAAGTATTAGACACTTAATTCTGTATGCTTTGCATTTGATCTTCTAATAACAATACCATAGTACTTGGACTGCACTTAGTATTGAGGTTTATTTCCTAGATATTCACACTCCTAGAATATGGCTGCTTTATAGTTTATCCACATTTGATTCATCACAGAACACCAAATAATTGCTTCAAACTTAAAGATAAACAACTTATATACAACAACCTTGACACCCTTTCACCACAATGCCAACTTTCCTTGTAAGAAGCAAAGCACAGTGGTCAAATCAAATATGTTGAATATATTTATAAATAGTGTATAGATAACCTCTTTCGCCTGCATTATCTCTTCTAACAACAAGGTCCCCTCCAAAGCCATTATTGCATCAACTCCAAAGCTCAATCCTGTATCGATTAAAAGAATTCAAAGCAGAAAAAATGGTGTTAGACAATTCAACAACATTTATTTCTCTGCAAAGACCTACACCTAATACAGTAACAAACTTGATAAAATTGACAAAAGTGTGTCAAAAGGAAACGAATACCTGTATTGAATTCTTTTGGTAGAGTGTCAAAGTAATTCTTGAATTTTGAGTCACAATTGTGCTTCTCCTTCATGCTCCACAGCAACAACATAGTCTCAGAGGACATGCCATCAATCTTCTGCAATATATTATACTGCACCCAGACAAAGTCTTTCAACAACACAGTAATGAACCAAAATTTTGATAATTGGAGTTATGCCACACTTGCAATTCTATCTTTAGTAGTAAACATGATCTCACATGACTAAACAGGAGCAAAAATATAGACATGATAAATGGAATAAAAACAAATTTAGACTCATCCACAAAAGTTTGTCCATGGCATTAATATTCACTTAAATGTTTCACTGAAACAGTACACTAATATACATTTGAATTTTGTCAGCCTACTGCTCAGTCTTATGTAATATGAGATTTAAATGGGATCAGGACTTTTACATTTCCTAATCCTATTTAAATGTCATATTAAATTTAAGACAGTAGAAACTGAAGATCTTTTTAATTTGCACTTTTTGTAAAAAGTGGACATAGAGATGTAACCAAGTGGATAAAGGCAGCATATTCTGAAGCTACCTTGGGTAGGTTCAATTCCTTAATACAAGCGTAAAAGTTTACCCATTAATAATATGGCATTGCAGCTTCAAACAGGGAAATTTGATCCACATAGCATGGAACAGGTATGAGAATGTTCTTCAGATGTGAGGACATCTATCCTAATTTTAGTCGTTCTAAATATTTTCCAGGCATGTTTGTCACATAACATACATGAAATTCCCTAAACTTCAGGAGTGATTTTAAGTACTTTTCAAATGAGAAAGCATACCAGGTCACATTTGTATACAATGTCCTCAGAAATGATAATTGATACAGGGATCTCCAAAGCAACATCTCCAACTTTCAGATCTTCCATTGCAATGGTTCCTCTACCAGCTCCTTCTACACCTGCATGACAGATGCAGCATGGAAAACATAATATATTAAATACCCAAGTGAATGCTTTAAAGAAAAACAAGGGATTTGGAAAAATAACATTTTAGACTCCCCAACACTCCAGCCCACCCTGTCCTAAAAGGAAAAAAATAAAAATAAAAAAAAGGAAAGAAAGAAAGTAGGGGAAGGAGGGAGGTAGAAAGAAAGAAAGTAGGGGAAGGAGGGAGGGAGGAAGGGACAGCAAATATGGATGCTCATAAGGAAACATCACAAAAGCAACCTAAATCTTGAAAACTTACAAGCAATCTCCAGTTTTGTTCTAACGCCATTGTTTTCACCCCATTGTACTAAAATCTTTTCCTTATCACCAATATAAGTTTTATCAATTTTCATTTCAACTTTATACTTATTCCCGATTTTGTGGATCTTATCAATGACTGCCTCTTGTAAGTCTTGCAAAACATTCACTTGCTTATACGTTTGACCAGAGAGTGAGTTGTTCACAAGCAAAAGCATGGAGTTAAGGGCTTCCAGTTCGTTCCTAGTGCTGTAAAATCCGAGTTGTGTATCATGTTCACCAAAATAGAGTTCCACCTGCACCCGCACCAAGCACATCATTTAATCATCAATTACACATAGATAGATTGCAATCAAGGAACAATGAACTGCGTTTTCTGCCTTTCTTATCTTAATTGATTAGACAAGCCAGGAAGCATAATCTCCCAGCATCAATGAAAAGAGTTTTAAGCAAACCCATGCACCAAATTATCTACCCTGATACTTCCTAGAAACAAATAAGTACCAAGTATATCCTTCAATGAATTCCGATGACTAGGTTCAGAATATGCCTAACGAGTTGAAAAATAAATGTTCTAGTATTGGGAATTTACCTCATCCAAGTGGATTATTCTTCCTATCTGAAGCATTCTCTCCAAAGTATTACTTATTGAATCAAGAGATGAAGAGCTCTTAAGGTATATCTGTACCTTGACTCCAAAACCCTTATCAAGTAGTAGTTTCTGCCAAAAAAACAATTAAAAAAAAAAGGCTACCAACTAAAAGACTCAATCAAATTGGTGTAGTTCTTTTCAATCTAAATAATATTATAATTTGAGCAAAGTAGACTATAATAATTATGACTGTATGCTCAACTGTCATTAAAATTTTGGTAAAGAAAATACATGATTTAACAATGCTTTGTAAAGAGTAATGACAAAAAACTAACTGCTTAGTGCCAATTTTATTTCTCACCTTCTTTTTATCAAATAAAGGATCATTTTCAGTGAGCTCAAGAACTATTGAGCAATTATCAGCATTCTCCGCAGTGCCGTTGGATAAACATAGCTGCAATGAACAAAAAGGTCATCAGCTGTAACATCTTTTTTCTTTTCTGGTTAGGAGTACAAAATAAACAAGTCAACATTATTTACAAAAATACAAACGGTAAATGACCAACAACAATTACTGCCAAAACAATGAATTAACAAGAGATCCAAGTGAAGAAATTAAACAAAACAATAGCAAACAACACAGAAAAGTTCTATTAAAATTGTTTATATTCCTTTCTTTTCTCCATCCCATTTAAATGTAAGAGTCCAAGTAAAGATAAAGATAGTATAACGGAAAGACAATGTGACACATCACGAAAATCAACACATTATTTAAAGGATTTCACTACCACACGAGGCAATAACATTACTAAAATTGGATTCTTTTTTCTTTATATACACGGAAATTATACCTGCAACATTTTTCATGACATGAATCATTAATAATTCATATTTCTTTACAAGTTAGACATTCAATGTTACAAACGTGATCCTCCATATGGTAAACATGACATTCCCCATTGTCGAAAATTCATCCAATAATACCACCACCTCATCACTAAAGTAGCAAAATATGGGAAATGCAATTCACTGCGACTAATGTTAAATCCGTAACATGAATCAATTCAATAGCAACATTCAACTTGAATATAATAACAAAATCTGAATTTTAATATCAACAGCACCAGTATCGTTACAAAGGCCAGCATCACAGTGTCAACCTTGACTTTCAATTACAGCAACATAAAACTGATTTCTTGAAATACATGCACAATATTTCAAACAAAGACCCTAGAGACCTCCAATCAATCATTCTAGCATTTTCACAGAGTAAACTAAACAAAGCAACAAAGAGAGAAAATAAGTATATGTTAGAATTGAAGTAAATGAATGAAGTTGTGAGTTTACCTCGACCGCTTCCATTGAAGAACTTAAAAAACGATAGAAATGATTAACAGAGGGCAGAGCGTGGTAGACTGACTGCTACTTACATGTTTCTTTAGTGACTGTTTAGCTCCATTGGAATAAAAGCTCAATGATTAACAGGGGTTTGTGTTCTCAAAAGGGTTTTGTGGCCCAAAATCTGTTGTCAATTTGAAGGGTCGGCCCACAAATGGACCTGTCAAAAGAAAATTTCGGCCGATATAATTCATGGGCTTTGAGCCTTATAAGAAATCAACTGGGGCAAAAGTTGTGTTTTTAAAGCCCCACTAAACTTCTTTGGAGTGTACTAAAAGATTAAATGACCATTTTGGTAATTAAAATTTTAAAAAAAGTTATTATTACATCTTTTAGAAAATATTATTGGGAGTTAGAAAGAGAGTTAGTGGCACTTAAATAACTCCACCTATGGGCAATCATTGGTGGGTTTTAGCAAAAACTTGGGCTTCAAAATTAGCATGTAAGGATAGCTTTGGGTTTTTCATAAAAGTGAATCTATTGGCATTTGACTTAACGAAGCCACACTTTTTAATAAACTTTATAATGATAAATTTATATTATATTATTATTATTAACTTTAACATCCTATTCTTTACAAATACTTTTGTTACCCCACTATCATCTCGTTAACCCTTTTTTTTTTTTATGTTATTCAAACCATTCTTTGAACAAAGAGATAGTTTAATAAAGGAAAAAATTTACAATGGGATATATCAGGCTACAAGCAATACAAAATTATAAATTTTTAACTATTCCACATATAAATTTATTGTTATTTTTTTTTTTAATATTGGTAGCTATTTTAATATATATATTTTTATGTATTGTTTAATTATACTATTGTAGGGGTCAAAAATCACCTTAAGCCTTATCAAGCCTAGACAGGAATTTTCTACTAAGATGACCCGAGCTTACGATCCAATTCTGGTTGGGCTAGCATCAGAATTCATGACATGGGCCAAAACGTGTAGCCCAAATCAAACCTTTCTCCAAAATGGGCGTCACCAGTAGCTCACCTAAGGTCAGGCCTTCTAGACCAAGGTAAGTAAGACTCTTCCTATTTGGTTTTATCCTAATTCGCCATAGATTCCGTATCTTAAGTGAATTAGAACTCCTGCTATTAATAAGACAAGTGAACTAGGGTCTTTCCTATTTACTAGGCCTCTTCCCTTATGGATTTAGAGTCCTATCAGGACATGAAGATCTTACAACTACTATATAAACAGGGGTCACTCCTTTGTTGAGGCATTCGATCTCAATGCCTCCTACTTGCACCCAAGCTCTTCTCCTAAGAGCTATACTACAACGTCGTGGTTCTAGTCTCTGACTTAACCTCCGGTAACCCTTCCCTTAACCCTCACTAAATTGCCTCATTCAACTTTATTGACTTGAGCGTTGGAGTGCCTACGGCAAACATCACACAGGTGTTTACGTAAGCTTCAAGCTTGTTTGCTTTGTGTATAGGTGCAGCGGATTGTTAGTGGCCTTAACCTCATGGGATCAGACCCTACTTCCGTAACCATAGATTTTTGTATCCACAGTTTGGTGCCCACTGTGGGGCCTTTGGCAATCAATTCCCATTTGACGTCCTGCTTTACGAAGAATTATGTCATGGCTGAAGTCACAGACACTGCCTCAGCAGACATTGCGACTAAGGTTGAGGCTCTTTCGCATTAATGCAGCAACAGGCAGACAAGGTCACGACGATGGAAATCGAGAACAACAACATCCGGGCCGAGAATCAAAGCCTACGAGAAAAGGTAAATCAATAATATTCTCTTGACTTCCCATTCAATCAAATACCGGAAAATCGCTTCTGCGTCTCGATAAACCCCATGCAGCCACTTATAACTTTAGACCTTAGATCCTCGGCCTCAGACCCACCATCCTCCCAACTCTAGTCATCCATAAAGGATGGTCTAACACCCACCACCACAAATACAACAAACCTATCCATGCAAACATGACCCCTATCAGTTGACCCCTCAACTACCCGTGATCAGCTCGCTTAACCCATCCCCATCCAACAACTGCAAAACATCACCAACACCAACCATCCCATCAATATGAATGACCCACATTACATCCAGGACCCCACCAACTCGGCTCTCCCTCATGGGTCGAGTAGTATCCCCTACCAAACACCACTCGACTTAGCTCATCCTTATGGGTCGAATGGCCCCCAAGTCACACCTTTAACCATCCATGCCAACACTCGAATCATTATGTTGGGGATGACTCATCTTGAAGGGATGAATGGAGGCCCAAACACACAAAACAACAACCACCAAGCCATTCACGATGACTCAACTTGCCCCTCGAGACCGAGTGAGAGAAACATAGATCCCCAAACTGTCAATCCGGACCTATTGTCTATTGCTACTCCCCTTGAACATGTATTAGCAAAGAACCTAACAAATATGAAAGTTATGATGAGACACATACCTGGAGTCCCCACCCCAACCAAGAAGAGTCTTCCCCACAGTTATGTCAACTCACCCTTCATTGACTCAATAGCCCTAACCGAGATGCCTAAAAAATTTTTCATCCCAAACATAAAACCCTATGATGGTATGACCGACTTGGATGATCACATAGCTTCATACAAACAGAGGATGTTTGTCGTCTCCATACCACGAGATCTCAGGGAAGCATGCATGTGCAAGAGCTTTGGCTCCAGATTATCATGACCGGCCCTTCAATGGTACACAAACCTCCCCAACAACTTTATAGGCTCATTCGCCTAGCTTACCGACATATTTTTTGTGCAGTTTGCAAGCAGCAAGAAACTTGAGAAGCTGTCGGTTGATTATACAGGATTTATCAGAAAAGAGGAGAGCCATTACGGGAATACGTCAGTCGGTTCAATAAGAAGAAGATATCAATCCCATCCTGCAATCCTGAGACAACAGTGGATGATTTTAAGAAAGAACTCCTCCTCGATGGGGAACTCTACAAAGACCTCACCAAACTGGGTTGTAAATCTATGAAGAACGCTCTGCCTGAGTAATCATCCAGATAAGATGGGAATAGGATGAAGCGAACCGTAAAAGTTATACACCCTATGATGAATGCCGACAGAACATTAGTAAGAGACATTCAAAAACTCGGCAATATGAAACAAACAACCCAGCTCCAGCTCACAGTTTCACCAGAAACAACCGAAAACTGTATGACCACCCCTTAGCTCGACTTGCATATAGACCTTCCAATTCTTCTTCATTCATGGTCCTTAAGTATAACCTCAATGTCGAGCCAACCCAAGTAGTTTTCATAATAAAAAGGATGAGCCCGACAGTCAAGTGGCCACCCAAGCTGAGACTCGACGTCAAAAGAGACACGACCAAATGGTGCGAGTTCCATATGACCATGGGCATAACACGATCGACTACATAGCATTGAGGTTGGAGGTTGCAGTCTTAATTAAGAGAAGACATCTTCGGGACCTGTTGACTGATAAGGGCAAGATCACCATAAAAAACATGGATGAGAAAAACTGAGCCTCGCCTCCACCAGATCCAAAACCGAAAGGTTTCCTCAACATGATATCCGACGGCTTAGAGATTAGCAGAATCAGTTATTCCTCAGCAAAAGGCATGCCCGATCGAGCCATCACCTTAAAGCCTACTCTTCCCATCCACCCACATAAAAGCCCACTTAGCAAGTCATCTAGTTCGAAGACGATGAGCCAACCACCCTGACTACCCCGCACCATGATGCCTTAGTGATCACCCTGTAGATAGTAAACATTCTAGTAAGGAGAGTATTAGTGGACGGAGGCTCCTTAGCCAACATTCTCTTCTAAGAGGCAATCAAGATAATGGGCCTGGACGAGTCAAACATCAACAAGTGCCCCACCATCTTGGTTACGTTTAGCTCTGAGCAAAAATACACAATCGGGGAGATAGCTCTTCCTAGGGCTGCAAACAAACCGAGCTGTTCGCGAACAGCTTGATGTTCTTTCGATAACAGCTCGATTAGACTCGATAACAAACTTTTCACGGACAGTTAGATGTTCCTTCGATCATGTGTTCGATTCGAGATCGAACAGAGGGTGTTTGTTTGATTATGTTCGCGAACATATTACGTTTGAGTGATCCATCCGTTTGCGAACAACTTGTTCGCTTATTCATTTATTTATGTTCAAAAACATGGTATACATTATTATATATATTTATATGGTGCTAAGTTTATCAAGGATTTTCTATGGCTTAGTGTCAAAAATGCAAGTCTTTTGACTTTAAGGTCCTTGGTTCGAGTTGCACTAATATCATATTTACATTTTTTCATTTTTTTCTTTTTTATATTATGTTTGGTTTAGTTTGGATTAATTTTTTTAATGGTAATCAATAATAAAATATTATGATGCTTTTGTTTATATATATATATATAATATGTTTGGATTTAATAAATAATAAATTATAATGATACATAACATGACAAATTTAATAACATAGCAAATCTAATAAAATAATTGCTTCATATTTTTCTAAATATAATCAATAATTAAATATATTATGATAAATTTATGAACATAACACATTATATAATCAAGTGATATATAGCATGACAAATTTAATAACATAATAGTTTAATTAAACCTAAGTTATATATATATATATAACAAATTAATAACACATTTGTATTGATCATATATTTCAATAAACATTCATACCACTATGAATTTATGGGTGTTGATACAAAATATATATGTAGACATCTAAAATATTTATGATAATTTATGTAATGATGATAATAATAATAATAATAATAATAACTTGGCCCAACCCAAATTTTAAAACAAAAATCCAAACCCAATTCCACATTTTCCCTTTTGCAAATTACGACAACCTCACTTACAGCCCTAATTTTTTTTCTACAATTTTGCTCAACGCGACAGCGCCCCAGCACTCACCAGTTAGCCTTAGCCCCCATTTTCCCTTTTACAATTTTGCTCAACGCCTCAACCCCCATTTTCCCTTTTGTCATTTTGCACCAGACTCTAGAGGCCAAAAGAGATCAATGCCTCAGCCCCCATTTTGTCGTTTTGCAATTTTGGAAGGTATTAAATTTTATTTTA